TTCCTCCAAATATATGACATTTTCACCTAGAAATACCAATTTTCTCCCAAAAAATGTGATTTTCTCCCAGAAATTCCAGTTTTCCTTCAGAAATATCTCTCTTTCTTGAGAAACACCCATTCTACCCCAAAGATTCTGTCATGGTTTTTTTCTTTTTATTTGATTTTCAATATTCCACATCAAAACATCATGTACTGGAATTAAAGTGTTAATGCTCTAATTCTACGTACCTATCCCTATACATTACGGAAGTCATGGGATCTGACCCTTCCGGGTGGGGTGGTCTCTTACTGCCTGGCAGTGGGTGCTGGAGGGTGCTTTCCTAGCTGTTCCAAGCTTTTTTTCAGGTTTGACTCGGTCTCGGGAACTCTCTCTCATATCTTGTTTGATTTATTAGTCTCAGTTCCAATTAGATTGTATTATATTGTATTATTTTGCATTCCGATATCATAGTTAGTAAAATAAGTTTACCTCCATAGATTGTTGCCGCTGTTTTTTTCCTTTTCCCCCTACCTTCCCATTTTGTGGGGCCAGGCAGGGGGTGGGGAGGGCAGGGGCCTACTGCCCCCCTGTCACGGGCATAAACTGATCTAGTTAATTCCGTGACAGATTTTTGGTGGAGAATGCAGGCATAGCTGCCTTTTTTTTTGTTTTTGCTTTTTTGCTCTTAGAATGAATCTCGCTCTCTGCTCTTAGAGAGCTTCGTTAGGGAGCATTATCAGTAGTTCAGGTTTTTGTGCTGGAAAACTTGACCTTGAAAGACCAGGCGTACTGCCAGTATTCTGGGATATTTGTAAACTTTGAGCACTGCTTAGTCTGGGTAGTGCCTTTTTTTCCTTTTCCCCCCCCCCCTCTTCTTAGCTTCAATTCATTAACCCCTTTTGAGCAGAAACCAGCGATGAACCCACTCTTTTTCGTGGGAGTGCTAAGGGATTAAAAGCTATGGTGTTACTTGCCACCTACTGGCCAATCATCAATGTCATAATTACTTGTGGACTTGTGTTCATCTATAACCACATAAGGGCACTGACGGAGACGCCTGTATGGTACCTATATTGGTACCTATATGCAATGTATGATATGAATTTTGCCACTTGCATCCCGGATGGAATGGCTAATTTCACAAGCAACTACATCCCAAATGGAATAGCTAATTTTACAAACCACACGATGTTCAAACCAGTTTCCAGGTTTTCCTTTTGGTTTATCAGACGTTTTTCCAATGCTGAGTTAATTCTCATGCTTGTGGGCGTAACAGCCCTGTTCATATCAGTCTTCCTGAATGTATTTCTATACAGGACTATAAGGACTATAATTAAGCAGAAGGAGTCGCCTCCAAAACCATGACAGATTCCAATTGGAAATATTAGTTTTCTACCAAAAATATGACATTTTCTCCCAGAAACACCCGTTGTCTCCCAGAAATATGACTTTTTCACCCAGAAATACACATTTTCTCCCAAATATAGTACGTTCTCCCAGAAATACAAGTTTTATCCTAAATATGGGCCATTTTCTCCTGGAAATACCAGTTTGCTACCAAAAATGAGATCTTCTCCTGTAAATACTAGTTTTCTCCCAGAAATTTGACTCTTTCTTGAGAAACACCAGTTCTCTCCCAAGAATATGACATTTCCACCCAGAAATACCAGCTTTCTCCTGAAAATATGACATTTTTCCCCAGAAGTCAAAAATTTTCCCCCAATTCTACGACATTTTCTTCCAGAAACACCATTTCTCTTCTCATCATGACATTTTCTCCCGGAAATACCAGTTTTTCAAAAGTTATTCCATTTTCACACAAAAACACCAGTTCTCTCCCACAGTTATCTCATTTCCTCTAAGAAATACCTGTTTCCTCTCAAATACATGGTTTTTCTCCGAGAAATACCTATTTCCACTGGAAAATATGACATTTTCCCCACTAAAATTGGACATTTTCTTCCAGAAATGCCAGTTTTCTCCCAAATGTATGACATTTTCTCACAGATATACCAGTTTTCTTCCAAAATATGGCATTTTGTCCCACAAAGTATTTGTTCCCACCAAAAATATGACATTTTCCCCCAATAGTTGACAGTTGTTCCCTGGTAGACAGATTTCTGTCCAAAAGTAGCACATTTTCTCTGAGAAATATCAGTTTTCTCCCCAAAATATGACAGTTCTCTTCCAGAAATATGTCATTTACCTGGACTTGAGGAAGGCCTTTGACACGGTCCCTCACCACATCCTTATCTCCAAATTGGAGGGATGTGGATTTTGCAGGTGGACCACCCAGTGGATATGGAATTGGTTGAAAGGCCGCAGACAAAGAAGGTGGTGATTAATGGTCCTATGTCCAGGTGGAGGCCAGTAACGAGCAGCATCCCCCAGGGGTCTGTCTTGGGGCCGGTACTCTTGAACATCTTTGTCAATGACATCGATGATGGAACCAAGTACACCCTCATCAAGTTTGCTGATGACACCAAGCTGAGTGGTGTGGTTGACACGGTGGAAGGAAGGGATGCCATTCAGAGGGACCTCAACAGGCTTGAAAGGCGGGCCCGGGTGAACCTAATGAGGTTCAACACAACAAAGTGCAAGGCTTTGCACTTGGGCAGGAGGAATCCCAGGCATCCATACAGACTGGAAGGAGCAGTCCTTGAGAGCAGCTTTGCGGAGAAGGACCTGGGGGACCTGATGGATGAAAATCTTAACATGAACCAGCAGTGTGCTCTTGCAGCTCGGAAAGCAAGTGGTATCCTGGGCTCCATCAGAAGAGGGGTGGCCAGCAGGGACAGGGAGGTGATTGTCCCCCTCTACTCTGCTCTTGTGAGGCCCCATCTGGAGTACTGTGTCCAGGTCTGGAGCCCCCAGTACAAGAAAGACAGAGCTGTTGGAGAGGGTCCAGACGAGAGCCACAAAGATGATCAGGGGTCTGGAGCACCTCCCCTACGAAGACAGGCTGAGGGAGCTGGGCTTGTTCGGCCTGGAGAAAAGAAGGCTGCGGGGTGACCTCATTGCAGCCTTTCAGTACCTAAAGGGAGCCTACAAACAGGAGGGAAATCAACTCTTTGAAAGGGTGAGTGACAGCAGGACAAGGGGAAATGGTTTTAAGCTGAGGGAAGGGAGATTTAGGTTGGATGTCAGAGGGAAATTCTTTACGGAGAGAGTGGTGAGGTACTGGAACAGGCTGCCCAGGGAGGTTGTGGATGCCCCATGCCTGGAGGTGCTCAATGCCAGGTTGGAAGGGGCCCTGGGCAGCCTGGTCTAGTATTAAATGGGGAGGTTGGTGGCCCTGCCTGTGGCATGGGGGTTGGAGCTTCATGATCCTTGAGGTCCCTTCCAACCCGGGCCATTCTGTGATTCTGTGATTCTTTCAGGTCCTAGGGACTTGTGCACCTTCAGGTTCTGTAGATGGTCTTGAGCCTTATCTTCACTTACAGTGGGCAGATCTTCCTTCTCTCATTTCTTACCTTTGCTTTATGCAGCTTTGGTGGTGTGGCTAAAGCCCTTTCCGGTGAAAACTGTGGCAAAGTCATTGAGCACCTCAGCTTTCTCCATATGCCTTGTGATACGGTCTCTAGTTTCCATCCGGTGAGGGCCCACATCTTCCCCGACCTTCCTTTTATCACTGATATGCCTGTGGAATTTCTTCTTGTTCCCCTTTACGTCTCCAGCAAGATTTAATTCTATTTATATTTCATTCTATCTATTTTTAGTAACCAAACATTTCTTTCCTGCTCTTGGTGATCACATTGCTCAATAGCATAATGTACTAAAGTTGTACGCTAGGCATCTAAGCTCTATGAACCATCTGTTCACAATTCAATTCCAGTAACAGACACCATAAAGGAGGCAATATCAACTTTCAAAAAAACTACTTTTAATAAAAACAAAAAAAAATTGCTGATCATTAACAAGTTTATAAAACAGTGATTTAGTTACGTAAATAAATTGATATCAGTGTATCAAATCTTAATTACTTTCAACTTCATGACAGTGTTTACATGGCTGATGAAGTACAACCTTTTTATCTATTATAATAAATAAATAAAATGGAGAACATGAAATAGTTTTTCTAAACAGAAATACCTACCAAACATACCTCTAGCATGTCCTCTAATGAAGGGAACAAGTGACACTGGACACCTTTTACACCAAGACATAAAATCTGCTTTAAAAACCGCAAGGATACAGAACCATCAGCTGAAGTGAAGTTGCTGTATTGTAACCAAAGTTGGTATTTAATAATATAACGAACGGTTTGGTAGTTAGATCTCCAGTTTGGTTATTTTAAAGCATTAAGATGAGGCAAGATAGAAGGCTGCTTTTGTTTGAGTAATTCTAGAGAAAATAAAATATATTAAAAAAAACCCTGAAAAGTAGAAGTCATACCTACACAATTTTCTGTTCCTCACAAAGTCAAAATACTTATGCAGAATATGTATGTATATATATAATATATATGTTTTTTTTGTACACAAATGTTAGAATACTAGTAGCTGACTGCAAAGGCTACAAATCTTGTCGGTGATAATGGAAAACATTTTGTGTTCAAATTCTTTTCCTGGCATACTGAAATCTTAATGCCAAGCCTTGCTGCTCTGGCTGTGTATTTTTTGTTGTCCCTCTTTACTATGGTGCCTGTTAGAAGCATGTGTGTATACATATATATGTATACAGGAGTTGTGTAAATATAAATATATAAAAATCTTCCCCCAGTAGGTATCAGTCTAACCATGGAATCCAAAAGGTGGTTCTGCATAGATGCCCAACATACAGTTCACCACCTGAGCCAACCCTGAAGCAAGGCGCACTTTCATCCATCTGATAGATATTTTTTTCGTTTGAAACCAAGCTACTGCATCTTCAAGTATTCTGCATTACATAGATTTTTAAAATATAAATTAATGTTATATTTTTCAATATTCAGACATATACTATAATATATATTAAGTACAATAAATGCTCTCATTCTTCTTCTATTTTTTTTTTTTTTTTGATAAATCCCTGAGAACGTATGTTGACAGTAGCTAAGTTTCCGCATGCATAAACATTGTTTGTCATGCTTCTGGATGAACAGCATTGCAAAGCCATGTGGTCAGCCTTAACTATTAGTATTTCACTTATTGGTTTGTTTAAATATGCTGAATGTAAGGATGAGTTACAAAGGAATAAAGCTGAATCCATTTGAGGTATTTATCACAGGATGGAGGTGTTGTTTTGTTTTGTTTTGTTTTGTTTTGTTTTAAAGCCATTGCAATATATGCTTGGTTTTGAGGCTGCGCATGTATACAGAGAGGAGAGCGATATGGGCTCTTGCCACTTGACAACACATACTCAGTGTAAACCAAACCTTTTTTAACAGAAAAAAAGGAGAAAAGTAAACAGGAACTTTCACAACATGACAATTTAGTTTGCAAACTCAGTACAACTATACACATATAATACCAGTGTGGCTCTTTTTCTTTAAGTTAAAAAGGCAAGCTCAAGTAGAAACAAACCGTCCCTTCCCTCCCCACGCTTTCATCAACCAAACCGCTCACGAACCAACATCATCAGTTTCTTTTTGCCTTTATAGATTTGTTTTAGGTTGTCAATAAACTGTGTAAACTGGATCTGTCCATCATGAGACATTAAGAAGGTCTCTCGGGCCTTGCTGAGGAAGTCTATAAACTCACCATAGTGTCGAGGGCTGATGTGAGTGAGACGCGAATGAGTTGTATTAATGTAGGCTCCAATTGTGGCATCCAAGAGTTGCCTTAAAGGGGCTTTGTCCAGTGACATGAGCTTAACAGAGTTCCTCCTTCCCTGAAGTCCCACCATGCCAGGAGTGGTCAAAGTACACCTCCGCAAAATGTCTGACAGTACTGTTGCACATTTGACACTTTTGACTACCAGAGGTATTATAGCTGCTAGCTCATTTTTCCCAAGGGAGTGGCTGAGCGCACATGCCCACAGAACATCATTAATAGCAGGGTGTGTGTCCTGATTGTAACTCAGGTTGAGATGTGTCATGGCCAGAGTGGCCAACTTGTAGGCCCGCATGGGGTAACCACGGTGCTCCATGTATCGTGCTACAGTAAAAAGCTGCGAGGAGCTCATGCCGGTTGTAGCAGCATCTAGAACGATTTGGTAAGCAGTCTCAAAAGCTATGCAATCTTTTTCGCATAAAGTCAGCGCAGAGAGGGCACAGTTTTGAGGATCCTTCATGGCACACTGTAGAGCAAGCGTCCTAGCACTGCCGGCCAGCTTCTCCTGCTGAAGGCAGTCCAGATGCAGATGGACAATTGTACTGTTGGACATCACTGTTGTAGCAACAATACTAGTGGCTTCTGTTGGAGTGAAAAGTGTAAACCAGTTTTGCATGATGCTATCCAGTGCAGGAACACCTGGGAGAGATAAAAAGGATTAGCCATAACTGATAAAATGTGGCAGATACAGATGTTCAAAAAAGAGAACCAGTTACCAGTTAACAGATAACATGGCTAAAAAAGGATATTAAAACAAAAGATATTAAATCACTGAAATGCAGAGAACAACAAAAAAGCCTGCAAAATAAGCTTTAATCTGCTGGTTTAACAACTGAGCGGTTTTGTGTGTTATTTAAAACCGTTTGAATAACAATTTCTGACTCATTTGGTCTCTGTCACTCAAAAGCAGCTCTTATAATGAACACATTTTAAAAAGTAATTTTAAATTCTTTTCTCAATGCGCATCTCAAAATAAAGCACATGCACAAAAGAACAAGAAAATATGCTAAATAGATCACTTAATAGAACATTGTATTTAATGCAAAGCATGTCTTAAAAAAATAAAAAATCTTAATACCTCACCTGCAACAACTTTTCACAGAATCACAGAATCACAGAATCACCAAGGTTGGAAAAGACCTTCGAGATCATCCAGTCCAACCATCCACCGATCACCAGTAGTACTCACTAAACCATGTCCCTCAACACAAAATCCAAACGTTCTTTGAACACCTCCAGAGTCGATGATTCCACAACCTCTGTGGGCAGCCCATTCCACTGCCTGACCACTCTTTCAGAGAAGCACTATTTCCTAACGTCCAGCGTAAATATCCCCTGGAGCTGCTTGAAGCCATTGCCTCTAATTCTATCACCAGTTACATGAGAGAAGAGGCCGACCCCCAGCTCACTACAACCTCCCTTCAGGTAGTTATAGAGAGCAATAAGGTCTTCCCTGAGCCTCCTCTTCTCCACACTGAACAATCCCAGTTCCTTCAGCCACTCCTCATCAGGCCTGTGCTCCAGACCCCTCACCAGCTTTGTTGCCCTTCTTTGAACCTGCTTCAGGGACTCACTGTCTTTCTTGCAGTGAGGGGCCCAAAACTGGACACAGTACTTGAGGTGCAGCCTCACCAGAGCTGAGTACAGGGGGACAATCACTTCCCTGTTCCTGCTGCCAACACCGTTTCTGATGCAAGCCAGGATACCATTGGCTTTCTTGGCCACCTGGGCACGATGCTGGTCGTGTTCAGCTGAGCATCAATCAACACCCCCAGGTCCATTTCCTCTAGGCAGTCTTCCAGCCATAACCATAACCTTAACCCTAACCCTAACCCATGACCAAATCCTAACCCTACTCTAACTCAAACCCAACAGTAATACTAATGCTAACACTAACCCTAACCATAACACGTATCATTACACTAATCCTAAGCCTAAACCTAACGCCACTTCACAGTCGCATTAACTCTAAACCTAAACCAGTTCTAACACTAAATGTAACCATAACCATAACCCTTATCCTAACACTAATCCGAACTCTAAACCTAAACCTACCTTTATGGTAACACTAAATCTAACCCTATTACTAACCCTAAAACTATCTGTAAACATAACCATAACCGTAACCCTAACCCTACCACAGCCATAATCCTGCCTGGACCCATAGCCCTAACCTTCACACTAATCATAAACATAACCCAAAGCCTAAGCCTAAGCATAAACCTAAACTTAACCCTACCCTTAGAGTAACACTGACCCTAACCCTAATCCTAATGCTAATCCTAACTGTAAATCTAAACATAAACCTAACACTAAACATAACCATAACCGTAACCCTTATTCTAACACTAATTCTTAGCCTAAACCTAAAACTACCTTTACAGTAACACTAACTCTAACCTTAAGACTAACCCTGACACTAACTGTAGCCCTAACCCTAACCCTAATCCTACCACAACCATAGCCCTACCCCAACCCATAACCCGAACACTAACCATAACCATAACCCTAAGCAAAAGCCTAAGCCTAAGCCTAAATCTAACCCTACCCTTACGGGAACACTAATTTCATCCATAAGCCTACTGCAACCATAACCCTACCCCCTCCCTTAACCCAACCCCTAACCCTACCCCTAACCCTACCCCGACGCCTAACCGTACCCCTACCTTTAATCCTAACCCTACCTATGGAGATGTGTCACTGAAGGAAGTGCTCAGTGAGCATGTTGGGTAGACTGGATTGGGACTTGGAAATCATAGAGATCACCCAACCCTAATCCTATCTTCCAATGGTTCTATGATACTAAACCTAACCTAGACCTAATTCTACTACTAACCCTGACCCTAACCCTAACCCCACTACTAGCCCTAACCCTAACCTGACCCCAAACACAAAACTTAATCCTAACCCTAATGCTCATCTTAATATTCACCCTGACTCTAATGACCTACACTAATCCTCATACTAAAGGTCACTCTAATTCTAACTCTATCCCTAACCCTCACTCAAATACTAAACATGATCCTAATCCTGACCCCAACCTCTATCTCTAACCCTAACCCTAACCCTACCTCATAGCCTTAATGTGTGACATTATAAATGTGTACCAAAACCTCCACACAACAATGCACATCTGTGTTCTTAGCATGCAGTTCCCATCTTGGCACTACAGATGTGCCATCTCTGCACACGTCCTCATAGCATGTGCCCAATGTCAGCAGCGCATGTGTGCCCCATACACACGTCCTCATAGTGTGCTCCATGTCTGTGTGGTGTCAATGTGTCCCCAAAGGTCCCTGCTGCTGTCCCCAGTGGGGATGGCAGAGGAAAGCACAGTGGGGAAAGAGCGTGGTACCCAAAGTGCGTGGTGACAGCTGGATGGATGTGTTCGGGACCTCGTGTGACATCCCATGTGGGACACCCCATTTGAGCCACGTGTCCTGTGTTTGGCACCCATGGGTGACAACGTGCAGGGCCACATGCTGGCAGAGCATTGAGGATGGTGTGTAACAAACAAGTGATGGCAAACTGCAAAGGACAAACCAACAGGGACTATTTGCACAGCTCCATGTGTACCACATTACTGGGGACTCGACAGTGCAACTTCCCATTTGGGCTATGATTGCCACATCAGAAGGTGACGTCACAATATCCTGTCCAAAAGAGGAACTGACAGCAGCTCAACAGCCACTCCCTGTCCCCACTGCAGTCTTGCTGTACCCAGGCTGCTCCTGCCTCATGTCACCAATGACGCTGGCCCTCATCCTCGGTGAGTGACAATGGGGATGTGGTGCCACAGGGGTTGGTGGCCCTGTGTGGGACCAGGACGATGTCCCTTGCAGGTTGGTGGCTGGTGGAAGCAAGCAGGGCACAGGATCGTGAGTATGGGGACAGGGGGAGAATGGGGAGAGAGGGGGGGAAGCGTGGTCAGGGGGCCATGAGAGGGGCACAGGAGGGTGTGCAGGGACAAGGCTGACTGCTGTCCCCTGTCCTAGTGCCCCGACCCTCCCTGTCGCTGCACCCCAGCCAGGGGGTGTCCCTGGGGGATGCTGTCACCCTGCGCTGCCACCTGCCCCAGTTGGCTGCCAGGGTCTGGCTGTACCAGGAAGAACATAGGATATACATCAATTACAAGTACAAGGAGCAGGACACTGCAGAGTTCTCCTTCTTGAACACAAATTGGGAGCACACAGGTACATATAGGTGTCAGTACCAGGAGTCTTTGTCAGCAGAGGAATCAGAGAAGAGAGATCCTGTGGAGCTGGTGCTGACAGGTGAGGGCACTGGGGACAGCAGATGGCTCTGCTTGCTTCCAACAGGACCGTGTCCCACTGCTGTCCCCTCCCTCATGCAGATCGCAGATTTCCCCCACCCAGCATTTCCCTGAGCCCTGAGGAGCGTGTTGGGACAGGGACCAATGTCACCATCCAGTGCTGGAACAAGGACTATGGGGCTGCCTTCCTCCTGCACAAGGATGGGAGCTCAGCCACCATCCAACGTCAGGACCTTGATGTGGTGGGCACAGACGTATCTTGTATCAAATTCACAGACGTATCTTGTATCAAATTCACATGCATCAGAACATCAAGCTCTTATTAGAGAAATACACACTACTGGCTTTTGTCTGAAATGGATATTTCCTTATTTCTGGTGCAAATAGTTCATTCCAGGGGGGCCCACCGTGCAATACAAAGAGTGAGCCCCCGGTACACAGCCCAATTGTCTGTGCAGATATTCAGGATGATACTGTCACCGGTTTCCTTAGTTATAACCATCCACGTGGCTTGCAGTTCTGCCCATTGGCTACTCTGACCATCCCCCTCTTCAAACCAGATTGTTTCAGTGGAGGGATGGTATGTCACTGCTCTCCACTTGCTCAGGTTACCCTTGCTGGACCTATCCATATTCTACGCATCTTCAGGAATGGGATACTTCCCTTCCTGAATGGGACACTTCTCTGGTGGAATGACCATTGTCTCCTGTGGCACATCACTGTGATAAGTTACAGGGCCTAGGATCTTCCAGAGCTCCTCTTTCAGTGGTGATATAGATAGATTACTCTGGATGAGACAGGCAACCCATTATGCCACTGACTGTGCTTGGGCCACCCCTGTCTTAGGAAGGTGAGTCAGATCTTTCACCCAGCCCTGAATTTGCAACGTGGTCTTCACTATGACTTCAGCTTTTTGGGTTATTGGAGAATCTAGAGAGTCTAGAGAGTCAGATACCATAGTATATCTCTGTCCAGTATATCCTCTAGGACTGGGGCAATAGATACCTTATACTCCCAGGGTGGGATGTGCCCAACCCCCAACTTCAACCGTGTCTGGGTTACAGGGATGGTCTGTCCCACAAACCCACCAGTCACCACCCTATTTCCCTGGAATTTGGCTGGAACACCATAAATAACCTATGTTTCTGTGCCCGTGTCAACTAGTGCCATAACTCGCTCTATATTCTTTCAGGAGCAAAAAAGAGCAAAAAAGAGTCAGTTTGACACAGTGCCTCTGGCCACGTCTGGGAGCTCGAGGTGCAGGGGGGCTGGCATCCCCTGTCATGCAAGTAACTGTACAAATGCTAATTCTTTTTCCTCAGGTCGCTCAGACATAGTGGCTGGGGTCACTTGAGGAGGCTTTTTCCTTTTATTGGGAACTAGGAAATCTTCTAGCTTCCATGTTCTTGTTGGTACCTTTTGAATAATTCTCATTCTTTCTTTTTTGGGGATATTTTGAGGTTTTTGATTTTCCTCCAGCTGCCTCCAGAGCTGGAGGAGGACATAATTGGGCTGGAAATCAATTTTAGCAAATTGAACCTCAGCCCAGATTAAGTCATTTAACATTTGCTTTCAGGATACTCATATGGGTCCTGATTGAGTAGTCCATGGGGCGGATCTCCTGGTTTTAGTTACAGGGAAGACCTCGGCCCCTTCCAACGTTCGGATATTGTACCTGGTATGAAGGTACTCTGTCTCCCCCAGATCAGCCATCAATTGGGCAGCCTGTTGGATGATGGCCTCTGAGGCCACTAAGGGGTTCAGTATGGACACCAGTGTGCCATACTGGTGGGGAGGATCTTGTTTTAATATGAGGTCCCTCATTCCCATTGAACTTAACTAAATCAGGACTCCGGAATGCATCATCATAAATTGCCTCTTTCTTTCCCAGTTCTCTAATATAAATTTGAAGTTCCTCCATCGAGGTCCATAGACCAGTATTTATCAGAACATCACTTTTTTTTTGGCCATGTGATTCTACACGCCATTTTATTATTCCATTGTATTACAGAGTGGTTTTCATCATCATGTATGACAGTGGCATGGAGCCTTTGTCTGAGAGCCAAATGTGTGGTAATGGATTCAAGTTTAGAAATATCAGGCTCATTAATTACCACACTTTCAGCCCCCACGTCCCATAATCTCAACAGCCAAGCTGGTATGGTCTCTCGTGGTCCTTGCTAAAATTGTTGTAACAGATCCATGAGTTCAAGCAGCTGTATACAGTCATGCTGTTACATGTAATGTGGTATGTGCAGGGGGCCACTCTTTGGGTGCCAAACCTGCTGCTCATTGATTTTCTCTGTCTTCTGAGTTATTACTGGCCTTTTTTCAAGAGGATCTGAGGTTCCTCTAGTTGGCTTTTAGTCTGCTTGGCCTTCTTTTTGTTCTTGGGTGTAACTAGGATCCAAGGATCCTGTTGATCCAAGTCCTTTTCCTGTTCTAGTGACATAGGTCTTTATTTCAAAAGGGGAAGTTCCATTTGAAGGTGGGGAAGTTTGCCCTGTCAAAGATGTAATTTTATTCTCTAGTCGTCTCAAACGAGCTTTCAAAAGCTTGTTTTTAACTTCTAATTCTTCCTCCAAAGAATGATATGCTTTAATAGTGAGAAGCAGTGGCCATGCCACAACAGATGCTGCTACTATTTTTTCCTCAGTTGTAAAAATTTCTGTCCTAATTTATTCAGGAAATCATCTATTTTTGATGGGGATTTAATAATGGGACCATTGTCCCTCATAGGTCCCCATTCTTCAATAACCCAAGCAGCACTCAGCCACGGGGAACCCAGGAATCCCAGGGTTTCCCCCAGGAGTTCCTCTTTCAGTGTATTCACTGTCCCACTAACCTTCCAACACATAACTTCTTTTAAAATAATCCATTGTAAATAAGTACCTGACTGGCTCACCAAGTATAACGCTATAATGTGTGGGAAAACAACAATAACAGCAGGGTAACAGAGATCCAGGCTGTAGGAAGTAAGGATCAGCTTAATTACAACAGCCATGGGCAAAAAAAACAAAGGAAAAAAGCTGCTCAACTTCAGAAGGCCACAGATAGACTAGAATCTCCAGAAAGATACCTTTACCTCCACTGCCAACCCTTAAATGAGGTCTGGGAGGGGGTGGATCCTGGCTCCATTTCTTCCAGTCACTCAGGTGCATTGCTTACACCTGAGCTCCCCTGGGTTGGCTCTGCCTTCCCACCAGGTGCTCAATGGCTGTTTCAGGCTGTGAGATAGCATTTCTGCTACAGATAGTTATATTATAATATATAAACTAATTTAAAGCAGTATTAAAAACAAGATTTTATTATTCTTTTATTTATTATTAGCTATTAATTTATTATTAATTTATTATTATTTTTAATTACGATTGAGGGCTACAAGCTTTTTAGAAGGGATAGGCAAGGTAGGAGAGGCAGAGGAGTTGCTCTCTGTTAAGAAGTGGATAGATTGCGAATAGCTGCCTCTGAGAAACAGTCAAAAATAGGTTGAGAGCTTGTGGGTTTAAAATTAGGGACCAGGGGATCAGTTTAATAAAGGAAATCCAGTGATTGGGAACTGTTACTGGCCGTCTGATCAAGGGGAGACTGTTGACAAGGCCTTCTTCCTTCAGCTACAAGATGCCTCATACTCACAGGTTCTCATCCTGATTGGGGATTTCAACCACCTGGATATCTACTGAGAAAACATGGTGACTTGCTAGCAATACAGGAGACTCCTGGAATCTATTGAGGATAATTTCCTGATCCAGATATTGGACAGACCAAAAAGAGGGGAATAATTGCTGGACTTGATGCAAACCAGTGCAGAGGAAGTCATTAAAAAGGTTAAGATTGGGGGCAGACTGGGCTGTAGCAATCATGTTCTGGTGGAGTTCGTGATCTCAAAGAACATGGTAGTGTTGATCTGCCTGAGGGTAGGGAGGCCCTTCAGAGGGATCTAGATAAGCTGTATTGCTGGGCTGAGGTGAATGGGATGAGGTTCAACAAGGCCAAGTGCTGGGTCCTGCACTTTGGCCACAATAACCCCATGCAGCGCTATAGACTTGGAGGAGAGTGGCTGGATGACTGTGAAGAGGAAAGGGACCTGGGGGTGTTGTTCGATGCTTGGCTGAACATAAGCCGGCAGTGTGCCCAGATAGCCAAGAGGGCCAACGGCATCCTGGCCTGCATTAGAAATAGCGTGACCAGCAGGAGCAGGAAGGTAATCACCCCCCTGTACTCAGCACTGGTGAGGCTGCACCTCGAGTACTGTGTTCAGTTTTGGGCCCCTCACAACAAGAAAGACATTGAGGCCCTGTAGCTTGTCCAAAGAAGGGCAAGGAAACTGGTGAGGGGTCTGGAGCACAAGTCTTATGAGGAGCAGCTGAGGGAGCTGGGATTGTTTAGTTTGGAGAAGAGGAGGCTCAGGGGAGACCTCATTGCACTCTACAACTTCCTGAAGGGAGGTTGTGATGAGGAGAGGTTTGGCCTTTTCTCCCAGGCAACAAACAGGACCCAAGGAAATGGCCGCAAGTTGTACCAGAGGAAGTTTAGGTTAGACTTAAGGAAGAACTTTTTCTCTCAGAGAGTGGTCAGGCACTGGAATGGCCTGCCCATCTCCCTTATGAGGAAAGGCTGAGAGACCTGGAACTGTTCAGCCTGGAGAAGACTGAGAGGGGATCTTATCAGTGCTTATAAATATCTAAAGGGCAGATGTCAAGAGGATGGAGCCTGAATCTTTTCTGTGGTGCACAGTGACAGGACAAGGAGCAACAGACACAAACTGAAACACTGTAAGATCCTTCTGAACATGAGAAAAAAAAAATCTTTACTTTGAGGGTGACAGAGCACTGGAACAATCTGCCCAGAGATGTTGTGGAGTCTCCTTCTCTGGAGATATTCAAAACCTGCCTGGATGCTTCAATGTGTAACCTACTCTATGGAACCTGCTTTAGCAGGGTGGTTAGACTAGATGATCTCCAGATGTCCTTTCAAACCCCTACGATTCTGGGATTCTATGAAAGAAAGAAAGGAAGCATGCTTTCCAGAAATATCTCTAGTGATGAATAAAATTTGATTAAAATTTTCCCTTATCATCATGATATTTAAATAGTCCTTGCTATCACAGCTGTTGATTATTACTTTAAACAGCTACATAGTTTTTAATGCCCTCATTTTCACTTTTAAATGTTTTATTCTCATCTTGCAGATGGTAAGCTGGAATACAGAAGCTAAAGGGATGTCTTATCAAGACACAGGAAACCTATGGCAAAGCACAGAAGTGAACAGAATGTCCTGCTGAGTACACTGTTCTCCCACTGCTGTCCTCTAAGTGTGAGGCTGATTCTGCTTCCATCTTTTTTTTTTTTTAAACCTTGTGTGGTTAAATGATGGATACAGTACTATTTGGTTTGCTTTTCAGTATGGAGGACAGGCCTGCACAATGTCATAGCCACATAACAAAGATGTACAAGGGCTGCTCCAAAAGTAATGCCTCCCATTTTATTATGTTAGCACATGACAGAAGTCATATTGGCAGTATGACGGTAGGGGTTGAACCTTCTCACCAATATTCCATTAAATTTTGTTGCTGTGCAACAGAGAGCCAGTCTGACAAAATGGTGTCTGATATGGAAGTGCATATGAAGCAAAGGTATGTAACTGAACTCCTCCACGCAGAAAAAATTGCAACCCCTGGACATTCATTGATGCTTGCTGAACATTTATGGAGACCAAACATGAGATGTTACCACAGTGAGGCAAGGGGTGGTATGTTTCAGCAGTGGTGACAGTGTGTCACCTCTGCTGGTGCAGGTTTTTATGAGCTTGGCATACAGGGTCTTGTTCATTGCTGGTGAAAATGCAAAGCTAATGGTGGTGCCTACATTGAAAAATAACATTTTGTAGCTGAGAATTTGCTCTATCAAATAGAATTATGCTCTTTGTATCTGTTGTAGTTTCCATATAAAAATATAGGAGACATTACTTTCAGAGCAACGGAGATATTGCATTTTAAGCTTGGATTTATTCAGGGGATTAAAAAACAAATATTTCTTCATTAGATCCTCCCACTGTGTGGGAAGCATTCTCAACATTTTATTCACCTATTTTCTGGTTTCTCTCTCACACAGCTGATCAGATAGCTATCTCACCTTCACCTTAAACCTGGCAATTCAGAGCAAGTAAATTGTAGCACAGCGTGACAGCTCATAACAAGAAGCCTTTTATCTGCTGCAGCCTCAAACCCAGACAACATGGAGGAGAGAAGGGGAAATCTAGGATATTTCCCAAGTAATGAATCCCTCTACCTTGTGAGGGAAGGAATTCACACTCCATTACTCAACTATTGTCTCATTTGTCCTGGGCCTATTCTGTCATGTACTCAAGTAAACTACTCACCATTGCCATAATTAACATCTTCTATATGAAGGAATGTTATAGATCAACATTTGAAGATCCTAGGTATTGATAAGTAAGATCAAATCATTTAAGCTTAACTGAAAAGGCAGGAGCCCTCAAGAATCTCCAGTATCTCAGAACATACCTAGTTCTGTTGCACACGTTACCAACCA